AAAGAAGGTAACAATTTTAAAAGTAACAGTTTACAGATGTAATGTGTTTTAAGAATTTAAGGATTTTAAAATGTAACAATTTCCAAAAGTAATGTTTTAAGAATGTAACAGTTTAAAAACGTAACGGCTTGCAGAAGAATCATCTTGAGAATGTAACAATTTTAAAAAGCCGCAGTTTTCTGAAGTAGCATCTTAAGAATGTAACAATTTGAACAGTAACAGTTTACAGGAGTAACATTTTAAGAATGTTTTACAGGAAACAAAGACATGACAAAAGACAAAAATGCTGATTAAGAATTAATTTTTCTATTTTGGAACAACATGCAGGTGAGTTAATGCTGACAGAATTTCGATAATTTTCCTCCATACAGCAGCAGAAAAAAACGAGGGTGAAAAAGAAAGAGTGCTTTTTTGTATTTGTGAACTGGCCTGTCAAGTTTAAGTCTACAGCCTTTCTCAGGTGAAAATACATTTCTTTTTTGAATTTCCAGAACCTAAGAACTGTTCTCTGTGAGCAGCTTCTCTCTCTCTCTCTCTCTCTCTCTCTCTCTCTCTCTCTCTCTCTCTCTCTCTGTGGTCGAGGGCTCTGGGTTGTTGTAGGAGTTCACTATCTCTCTCTCTCTCTCTCGCTCTCTGTCTGTGGTCGAGGGCTCTGGGTTGTTGTAGGAGTTCACTATCTCTCTCTCTGCAGATGGTGGCGTCTTTTCTTATCAAGAAGAATGGCCGCTGCCTCCGTTTTTCAGACACTCTTATCTGGGAATCCTTTAAATTGAATATTTACTAGGCTGATGTTCCCAGTCTGTGCCGGAGCACCGCAGGCCCCGTTCTCTCCGCGCCAGACGGACCTCAGCCTACACAAACCGGATCTGTCGGAAAATAACACAAAGACTGATTGTGCATTCACAGGAAATGAATGGATGGCAAAGCCGCCAATGTCCACAAAAAGGATGTTCTGGAAATTATGCAAACCGCTTTCGTTTTATATAATAGTAAGCACAGAAGAAATGGAAAAGGAGGAATGCAGTGTGTTTCTCTTACAATTGATCCATGAAGCCCCACCTCTGAAAACTGACCAGTCAGACGGTAGCAACTGTTGCCATCCACCATAGAATCTGACAAGGATATTAAAGGAATAGTTGACCCAAAAAATGAAAAAAACCTTGAAAATGTGCTCACCCTCAAGACATCCAAGATGTAGATGAGTTATAATAGGAGTCCATATCCATAATAACACTTGACTTCCTCCGGTGAAAAAGTGTTCTGGTGTGAATCAGGAGAGAAATCTGCACAGATCAAGCAGCGTTTAAACAGCTCTAAACTAATATGTGGCTGGGTTTTGATGCTAGTGACAACAGCAGATGCACTTTTTCACTGGAGGAAGCGTTATTATGGATTATGCACTCAATGTATTTGAGTTAAAAACGTCTTAATGCTGGATGTGTTTCAGCTTTTGTCTTCTCCAGATGTTAACTGATGGACTGGTGTGCTGTGGATTACTTGTGGATTATTGTGATGTTTTTATCAGCTGTTTGGACTCTCATTCTGACGGCACCCATTCACTGCAGAGCATGCATTGATGAGACACTGATGCAGTGCTACATTTCTCCAAACCTGATGACGAAACAACCTCATCCTGATCTTGGATGGCCTGAGGGTGAACACATTTTCAGCAAATTTTCATTTTTTGGGGGTGAACTACCTTTAACCCAGCTAACAAAAATATTTCTAATATTTCTGTCAATATGGGGTGCTGTGTGTACATTAATGAGGAAAAAAATTAACTTAAATGATTTTAGCAAATGGCTGCAATATAACAAAGAGTGAAAAATTTAAGGGGGTCTGAATACTTTCCGTACCCACTGTATGTTTCTAAGACATTCCAATTAAATTATTAAAAAGTTATTTCTGAATGTTCTCTGAGCGTTCAAAACATCCAGGTTTGTAAACATCGGTTATGCAAAGGTTAAAGAAACATTAATATTCCAAACATGATGGGAACGTTACTTTTGAATGTTCACCTAACGTTCTAAAACAAGTTGATACATTTTTAAAAAATGTTACACAAAAGTCCAACTAAAACTTTTTATATATTAAAAAAACATTCTGTGAACAATGTATAAATAACATTTTGAGAACGTTATTAATGACCACATAACCTTGAACAAACTGTTCTATTAATGTTACTGGAAGTATGCTTGTTCATAATGTTGAGAGAACCTTGCTAGAACATTCTAAGAACGTTTCCTGTTAGCTGGGATAGTTTTAGATAGAATGTTACAGACATAATCCAAAGATATAGTGAGAAGACAAACAAACAAACCTTCAGAAGTTCCTTTTGTGGATTAAAAACCCTCATCCGTCCCTCGGGTCATTTTGACCCAAAAGTTGTTGGGTTTTTTTAATCTAAAAATTGTGTGTTAATCATACCGGTCCAAGATTTATTTACTTCTGTCACACTTGCACCGGGAATACACAGTGGATACGAGGAGTTTAAATGGGTGAAATAAAAAAAGTAACAGAAGTGTCCCTCGCGGGTCATTTTGACCCGCATAGGAATGAATGGAATTTACGAGAAAACTGCATTTTTCCATTACATTTGATTTTTTTTTATATACAAAAACTGAGGCAATCCAGTAAAGATTTATACCCAAACGAAGGGCTGAGACTACAGAATATCCCACACACACACACACGCGCGCACGCGCACACACACACTCTCATAGAACACATTGTAATATTTTTCATGTTTCTGTTGGGATATGACTGTCATTTTTCCTTTTTTTTTTAACTTAACACAGTTAGATTTGAGTGATGTGGTGGAGACCAATGAGTTTATATCATATTTATATTTTTAAAAATATACTGTATATTTATTTCATATTTATGAAATTGTATGAATATACATATGTTTAGGTTATAATTCAGCTCTATTTTTTTTTTTCAAAATATGGATTTTGTAATGTTTCAATATATATTTTAATCCATAAACAACCAAATTGAAGCCTTAAAAATATATAATTTCTCATGTTTCACTTGTTTTGCTCAGTTAAAAATCTCCATAGGGTTCTATAGGCCCCTCTAGTGGCTGTAACCATAAAATGCAATACATAAAAAATTTTGTAAAACATTTATACAAATGTTCCAATGTAAGCTTTTTGGACCAAAAATAAAATTAGTGTCATTTTTGGCCTTCGGGTCATTTTGACCCGCGAGGGACACTTTTGTTATAGGTTCGGGAGGGACGGATGAGGGTTTAACTACTGTGCTTATTCCAAAATGAATGTAAAGCATAAGTCAGAACACCTACATTTGCTGCAAGACACATTCATGTTGATATTGCAATTTTAAGGGATTAATTAAAAATGTATTTTTCTCAATTTAAATGATTTTCTAATAATTTGCGAAGAACGTCTCATGAATATTGTGTCTTAAATGTCCAGCTTTGCTGTTCCCAGACCAGTCTGGTCTTGTGCTTGCGTTCTGCTCTCCTCCAGACATTAGCGGGACCCGGATCAGGATCGTCTGACAGCTCGTGCAGAGAGAGCCGTCTTGCTCTCAGAAATTCCTGCGTGTTGAATTAATGGGAGCAGTTGAGGGTGTAATTGCAGTGCTGGAGTCAAAGCTGTGAGACACGATAATGTCCTCTGAATAAAAGCCTGGCAGAGTTTACGTACTGAACAATATTAGCGGATTACACACATCAAACAAGCTCTGATTAATGCCTGAGAGGCAGGACACAGTCGAAACAGGAGGAAATTGGAGATAATTGTAGGAATATCTGAAAGCGCTAATGACCTGAAATCATTCTGCACAATGTGTTTGAGGATTCTTATTTTCTCACACAAGCTCAAATACTGTGATGCACATTTGCAAACCTGTTGTAGACCGCGCTTCAGCAAATGATCTGAAAGTTTCAAAGCTTTGTGTAATTATATCTCAGGCCTAACCGAGAAGGCCTCAGGCTCATGAGAGTGTCTGTGAGTGAAGGCGGGATTGATGATGGCAGCTAAAGAGGAAAGTCGTTTCAGGGGCAGAACAAGTTATTACATCAAAGATCATGAAGACAAAAATAGTTATTTTGGATTTTATGTGCAGTTATTTTAATATCACTGAGATCCTACACTGTTAGAAATAAAGGTGCTTCACGATGCCACAGAAGAACCTTTTTAGTCTAAATGGTTCCATAAAGAACCTTTAACATCTGAAGAACCTTTCTGCTCCACAAAAGCTTCTTTGTGGCGAAATAAGGTTCTTTCAAAGAGAAAGATGGTTCTTTAAAGAAAGATGGTTCTTTATGGCATCGCTGTGTTTTAAGCTCCTTTATTTTTAAGAGTGTTATCTAAAAGAACGTTATTTTTGTATTTTAATGTTAGTAATTGTGCTGTGCTTTTGTAATTTCTATTAATCTTGTTTTGTTTTTTCTAAATGCATCTATATTGTTTTTCATTCATTTTTATTTTACTTTTAGTTTGTTATTTATTTACATTATATTACAAGTCAATTCTGAATGTTCTCTGAGCGTTCAAAACATCCAGGTTTGTAAACATCGGTTATGCAAAGGTTAAAGAAACATTAATATTCCAAACATGATGGGAACGTTACTTTTGAATGTTCACCTAACGTTCTAAAACAAGTTGATACATTTTTAAAAAATGTTACACAAAAGTCCAACTAAAACTTTTTATATATTAAAAAAACATTCTGTGAACAATGTATAAATAACATTTTGAGAACGTTATTAATGACCACATAACCTTGAACAAACTGTTCTATTAATGTTACTGGAAGTATGCTTGTTCATAATGTTGAGAGAACCTTGCTAGAACATTCTAAGAACGTTTCCTGTTAGCTGGGATAGTTTTAGATAGAATGTTACAGACATAATCCAAAGATATAGTGAGAAGACAAACAAACAAACCTTCAGAAGTTCCTTTTGTGGATTAAAAACCCTCATCCGTCCCTCGGGTCATTTTGACCCAAAAGTTGTTGGGTTTTTTTAATCTAAAAATTGTGTGTTAATCATACCGGTCCAAGATTTATTTACTTCTGTCACACTTGCACCGGGAATACACAGTGGATACGAGGAGTTTAAATGGGTGAAATAAAAAAAGTAACAGAAGTGTCCCTCGCGGGTCATTTTGACCCGCATAGGAATGAATGGAATTTACGAGAAAACTGCATTTTTCCATTACATTTGATTTTTTTTTATATACAAAAACTGAGGCAATCCAGTAAAGATTTATACCCAAACGAAGGGCTGAGACTACAGAATATCCCACACACACACACACGCGCGCACGCGCACACACACACTCTCATAGAACACATTGTAATATTTTTCATGTTTCTGTTGGGATATGACTGTCATTTTTCCTTTTTTTTTTAACTTAACACAGTTAGATTTGAGTGATGTGGTGGAGACCAATGAGTTTATATCATATTTATATTTTTAAAAATATACTGTATATTTATTTCATATTTATGAAATTGTATGAATATACATATGTTTAGGTTATAATTCAGCTCTATTTTTTTTTTTCAAAATATGGATTTTGTAATGTTTCAATATATATTTTAATCCATAAACAACCAAATTGAAGCCTTAAAAATATATAATTTCTCATGTTTCACTTGTTTTGCTCAGTTAAAAATCTCCATAGGGTTCTATAGGCCCCTCTAGTGGCTGTAACCATAAAATGCAATACATAAAAAATTTTGTAAAACATTTATACAAATGTTCCAATGTAAGCTTTTTGGACCAAAAATAAAATTAGTGTCATTTTTGGCCTTCGGGTCATTTTGACCCGCGAGGGACACTTTTGTTATAGGTTCGGGAGGGACGGATGAGGGTTTAACTACTGTGCTTATTCCAAAATGAATGTAAAGCATAAGTCAGAACACCTACATTTGCTGCAAGACACATTCATGTTGATATTGCAATTTTAAGGGATTAATTAAAAATGTATTTTTCTCAATTTAAATGATTTTCTAATAATTTGCGAAGAACGTCTCATGAATATTGTGTCTTAAATGTCCAGCTTTGCTGTTCCCAGACCAGTCTGGTCTTGTGCTTGCGTTCTGCTCTCCTCCAGACATTAGCGGGACCCGGATCAGGATCGTCTGACAGCTCGTGCAGAGAGAGCCGTCTTGCTCTCAGAAATTCCTGCGTGTTGAATTAATGGGAGCAGTTGAGGGTGTAATTGCAGTGCTGGAGTCAAAGCTGTGAGACACGATAATGTCCTCTGAATAAAAGCCTGGCAGAGTTTACGTACTGAACAATATTAGCGGATTACACACATCAAACAAGCTCTGATTAATGCCTGAGAGGCAGGACACAGTCGAAACAGGAGGAAATTGGAGATAATTGTAGGAATATCTGAAAGCGCTAATGACCTGAAATCATTCTGCACAATGTGTTTGAGGATTCTTATTTTCTCACACAAGCTCAAATACTGTGATGCACATTTGCAAACCTGTTGTAGACCGCGCTTCAGCAAATGATCTGAAAGTTTCAAAGCTTTGTGTAATTATATCTCAGGCCTAACCGAGAAGGCCTCAGGCTCATGAGAGTGTCTGTGAGTGAAGGCGGGATTGATGATGGCAGCTAAAGAGGAAAGTCGTTTCAGGGGCAGAACAAGTTATTACATCAAAGATCATGAAGACAAAAATAGTTATTTTGGATTTTATGTGCAGTTATTTTAATATCACTGAGATCCTACACTGTTAGAAATAAAGGTGCTTCACGATGCCACAGAAGAACCTTTTTAGTCTAAATGGTTCCATAAAGAACCTTTAACATCTGAAGAACCTTTCTGCTTCACAAAAGCTTCTTTGTGGCGAAATAAGGTTCTTTCAAAGAGAAAGATGGTTCTTTATGGCATCGCTGTGTTTTAAGCTCCTTTATTTTTAAGAGTGTTATCTAAAAGAACGTTATTTTTGTATTTTAATGTTAGTGATCGTGCTGTGCTTTTGTAATTTCTATTAATCTTGTTTTGTTTTTTCTAAATGCATCTATATTGTTTTTCATTCATTTTTATTTTACTTTTAGTTTGTTATTTATTTACATTATATTACAAGTCAACTAAATGAAAATTAGACATTTTGCCTTAATTTGAAGTAATGATTTTTTTAGTTAACAATAACTAATATGCACAAAGTGCTTTTATTTATTTCATCTTCTCGTATCGTATTATATTTAATAACATTTTAGTTACAGGTTTTAGTAATTTTGTTGTGTGCTTTTTATTATTTTTGTAAATATACAGTTTTTAATCATTTGCATTTCAGTTTTAGTTTAATTGTTTGAAATTTCGCCTTTTCCCTTGTTAACTAATAACCCTAAGTATTAATGAATTCATTGTTTTGGTGGTTTATGTGGTCTTGGACTTTATGCTTGCTATAGATAATGCACTATATGTAATGTAGACATGTTCTAACTATTCATATTCATCACTCATGATTGATTTGAAAGTGTTTAATTTTGCTGCTCGTTTCGTTCATTATTAATGAAAATAGAACAAATAACAAACAGAGCATAGCATAAGGCAGTCAGTGCTATAGAAAGTGCGACATTAATTAGTAACGGGAACTGAAAATAATGTCATAATATTTTAAACATGTTAATGACTTTCTGTTTTTTAACAATTTCAGAGAAGATGTGAAACAATCAAATTCCACTAAAATGTCACCCTATCCTCATTGGTTAAGAGGGTGAAAACTCCCCTCGACATGCCTATATAAGATCTGTATTTCTGTGAATAAATTGAAGTATTGAGAATACATGGACTGTGTGTTTTCTTACTTCCCGGCCGTATTTATACACTTGGAGAGACTGAGAAAATTTCACGGTGGCAAAGAGAATATCGAGGGACCAAATTGTTATTTTTATTAACAATCATCAATATCAGAGTATCTTGAAATTATTGATTTAATAACAGGGTAGATGGTATGCAACATTTTAAAATGCATTTCTTTAGTTTTGTTATTGATGCAATATTTAAAGGGGATTAACCAAGTTTCTTTTTTTCTTCTTTTTTTATTGCAAACAATTCAGAGATGACATTAATGAAATACAGCTTTGCATACATCACACATAATGCATCAGCAACACATCCAGTGCCATCTGAACATATGGAAGCTGACAACGACTGTTAAAAGAGAAAGATGCATTTAAATAGCTTTTGATGACCATGAAGAAAAGCAGGAACAGAGAGTTTCTGAGCGTCTGCTGTCATCTAGCGCTGGACTTATGAAGCAAAGAACTCTTTCTTATTAAATCTCAGCTTCCTCGCCATTGCATGCATCTTCTCAAAAATTATTTCTGTCATTATTATCATTTTTTAGTTGATAAACAAGGGTTATGCGCTTTATTTTACTTCATGCGTGTAATACTGCTGTATCAATTATTCTAAAGAGTACTAAAGAATACGTTTTACTTTCAGAAAACTGTGTTTAGGTAAATATCGCCCTCATGAGGTGCTGCTTTACATTCAAACCCGATGCAATAATTATTTGCAGCTTCAGAAAATATAGTAAGAAAATAACAATATGAAATTACAAGAATATGCCGTATTACTGAATTAGATTATTTAAGTAATTTTTTTGTTGCATTTTAGTCAATGTGACCTCCGTTCTTATGTAATATATATATATATATATATATATGGTTGTAGTTGCTAATTATTATTATTATTTATTTTGCTTAATATGTTTATTTTGTTTATCTGTGTTTTTATGCTATTTGGACTTCTTGAATTGCATTAAGATTTTTCTTACTGTTGGTATTTTGTATGTTCTGTCAAGCAATAAAATTTTTTAAAAATTAAAATTAAAATAAATAAAGCCCGCACTCTTCCTCATGCGTCATCCCGCTGTGCGTCTTGCGTCATCAGTGCGCGCCGTGTCCTGTTCGGACCGCAGACAGTTTCGGTTCGTCGTTGAAGACAGCGGCAGCAGGATGATTTCAGCGGCGGTTCTGCGCGGTTTCGGGACTCTGACCCGAACACGAGCCGCCTTCACAGGTACAGAAACACACACCAAAACGAGCGAGCTTCACGAAGCTTCTTCTGGTCACAGAAACCGCCCCAGTCTGAGAATGTCGATGACCTTTCATTGATTTGATGAGGTCGCGTCGTAGTGTAAAGGCCGCTTTTGACAGCTCACTAGTTGGTTAATGTGTGTGTGTGTGTGTGTGTGTGTGCAGTGTGTATGCAGGGCAGCAGTCTGTTCTGATCTCTCCAATGGACCTAGAGGTGAATCCTGCTTTGTGGCTGCAGTCCGTCAGTCAGTTTAAAGTCCGAGACACATTCTGCTCATATTCTGTGATGGAGCTCTGCACGAGATCTCTCAGCTCTCTCACTGACTCTCTAAAGGTACGCGCACACACACTCACACAGAATTTTAATCTGCATCTCGTTAAACAACAATTTATTTAAAAAAAGAAAAGATGTTTAACTTTTTATTTATTTGTTTTTGTTCTGTTTATCTTTCATTTTTATTATTCTTTATATATTTATTGTTTTGTATTCTGGTTGTGTGTGTAATTTATTGCTATGACTGTATCCCCTGTGAATGTTATAGCTTCAATAAAACATTTTTTTTTTCAAAAGGAATCACTAGCAGAAACTCAAAAAAAAAGAAAGTCACTGCACACAAATCCCAGCCGGGTCCGTCACTTTTTTTGGGTCCCCTTGAAACATTTCCGTTGTGGTCCGTGCTATTTGCAGCGCGTTTCTTCATTTGCATGTGCTGTGAGGATTTGCAGCGTTTCTTCATTTGCATGTGCTGTGAGGATTTGCAGCGCGTGTGTTGTCAAACTGATGAAGATGTTTTCTTAATTTGCTGGTGTTTTTTCAATTTGCATGTGTTTTCTTAAGTTGCAGCGCGTTGAGCTCTCTCGGCCACCGTAGCATGCCCTTGTAATGACACACATCAGACACTGAACTCTCAATAACACTTGACTCGTGTGTTATTGTTTATATATAGGCCTACAGTAGTTACAGTAGTTTATATTCAGTCAGAATGTGTGTTTCCTCTTGTTTTGCAGCTCCTCTGGCTGTCAGATGCTACTCTCATGCTAAAGTGGAGACAGATGAGGAGTTTGACTCCCGCTGGGTGACATACTTCAGCAAACCAGACCTGGACACCTGGGAGCTGCGCAAAGGTGACCGTACACTAAAAACACTGACACGTTATTACAATTTCAAATAGATGTTTTCTGTGTTAATATCTGTTCAAATGTACAGCCAAACCAAAGTTAATTCAGGCGCCTTCTCACATTATCACAGTTTATTCACTATAGTTTAGAAAATGGTTATAAAATATGACAAGAACTCAAAACAAATTAATCTTGATAATGTCACGTAACTTTGATAGAAAGGTATGTAATGAATTCGGTTGATTAGCTGTCAGCTGTTACATTTAATACACAATTAGATAAAACCAATTTAGCTCAACCAGTTACCAAGCAGTGCTTCATTCTGTTCAGTCTGTGGTGTAAACAGATCGCGTTAGCAATTAAAGAAAAAACACTTAACAGGGCGTCCGCGGGCAGGTCCTTAAAAAGTCTTAAATAACGTTTTCCTAATAAAAGGCCTTAAAAGTCTTAAATTCAGATTCGATGTGTCTTAACTATTTTTGGTCACATTACCGCTGTTACATTTAATACACAATTAGATAAAACCAATTTAGCTCAACCAGTTACCAAGCAGTGCTTCATTCTGTTCAGTCTGTGGTGTAAACAGATCGCGTTAGCAATTAAAGAAAAAACACTTAACAGGGCGTCCGCGGGCAGGTCCTTAAAAAGTCTTAAATAACGTTTTCCTAATAAAAGGCCTTAAAAGTCTTAAATTCAGATTCGATGTGTCTTAACTATTTTTGGTCACATTACCGCAAAAAAAAAAAACGGCGACGCATGGAAACGCGAGAATGATTCTTCTAATTTTATTATAAACAGCGATTGATAATGGATGCTGTGTTTCTGGTATCAAGGTCGCGCTGTTTATCTCTTTGTGAGAGACTTCTGAATTAATGAGCATAACCGCACACATAAACTCAGAAGAAACACACTGCGGTAAAAATTCAGTGTAATAATTTATTACAGTGATGATATTTTGTTTTCTTTTTACGTTAAACACATTAAATATTACATATATAGTTTCCATTACAGGTTTAGGTCTTAAATTTCATATAAGCTGGCATTAAAAAGATCTTAAAAAGTCTTGCGTTTAACTTGTTCATGTCTGTAGAAGCCCTGCTTAAGCCAAACATGCTCGGGTCAAAGTGTCGGAATAATATTTGCTCAATTTTACTGGTATGAAGAATTTTGGGTATAATATGTCACACTTTACTTTATTTTGCTATCCTCGCGTACATAAATGAACTATAGTGTCCTGCATCCACTAGTAAAAAAAAAAGTCAAATATTATATCTGGTGTCTGAATAATTTTTGGTTTGACTGTAATGTATTTCTGTGATGAGCAGCTGTATTTTCAGCATCATTCCTCCAGTCTTCAGTGTCACGTGATCTTCAGAAATCAGTATAGTTTGAATATGTTTGTGATTTTTCTTTTCGTTCTCTCCAGGAATGAACACTCTGATTGGATACGACCTCGTTCCAGAGCCGAAGATCCTGGACTCTGCTCTGCGCGCCTGCAGGAGACTGAATGATCTGGCCAGTGCCATCCGCATCCTCGAGGCCGTCAAAGTGAGAGAAACAAACGCTCCGCGAGAAAAGAGTTTATGCTTTCATGATAAAGGAAAATGTTGTTCACCCAAAAATTAAGTGTGGAAATTTTAGTCATCCTCCAGCCATCCGAGATCAGGATGAGTTTGTTCCTTCATCAGGTTTGTAGAAATGTAGCACTGCATCAGTGTCTCAGCAATGGATGCTCTGCAGTGAATGGGTGCCGTCAGAATGAGAGTCCAAACAGCTGATAAAAACATCACAATAATCCACAGCACTCCAGTCCATCAGTTAACATCTGGAGAAGACAAAAGCTGAAACACATCCAGCATTAAGACGCTTTGCACATAAGTGGTCCGCATGCGCAACCAAAATTAATAAGCGTATATACTTGCCGGCAACCCGCCAAAATAAAAGCTTGCTGATTTTAAGTTTGAAAATAATGAAAATTCTAATTAAAATAATAATAAAAATATTAGCATTTTAAGTTTACTATAAAATAATTGCATTTGTATTTAACACTACCTTTTTATTTTGAAATAAAATTGTATCATCACACTTTATTATTTAGTCTATTATATTTAAAATAAAGCAATTAGCCTCACTAAAGGTGAATTTATAACGGCTAAGTGGCGTTGTTAGGTGAGTGATGCAGTGCTACATTTCTACAAATCTGATGACGAAACAAACTCATATCTCGGATGGCCTGAGGGTGAATACATTCAGCAAATGATTATTTTCACCTGAACTATTCCTTAAAGTAATTAAAACACGTTTGTCTTTAATGCTTTTATTAATCTACAGACTGTTTATTAAAGTGCCCCTATCATGGGTTATGAAAGGTTCATATTTTGGTTTTGGGAGTCCCCAGCAACAGGTTGACATGCATGCAAGGTGAAAAAAACACTTCCATTGTCTTTGTAATATGCATTTAATTTGACCTTATTTGCTCAACGACTCCCAAACGATAATTTTTTTGTAGGAACGACAGCATTTTGTTCATTTAGGTTACTTTCTAAGTCTAGAAAAGCAATAAAATAAATGGAACCGCACAAAAGATATAATAGGCTGTCATATAATTAACAAAAGAGGGGAAAAAACATAGGCTCGTTTTTGTGACGCTCTTAATGCATTTGATTTCTTTTCTTTATATGTTTGTTTGATTTAATCCGTCTGATCGCACAGGCGCCTCACACAAGCGTTGCCTGACATTTCAGCCATTCATCGTCAAACTAAAATACAGTCAAGCAAACATAAAAGATGCTCGGTTTGTTTTAAAAGATCCGCTGTAAGATCAGCGTGCAGCGCCCATGTGAAGGATTTAACACGGATATTAGAACACGAGTGAAGTATAAAGCCTTGTTTAGGCTGCATAATGAATAATAAATGTTGCAGAAATGGAAACATTTGGATTCTTGTGGTATGAGATAATGCCGTTTCAGTTTGTATGCTGTTTGCCACTATAGCCTAATTTGTGTTTTATTTATAGCTACTTATTTTTCATTCTTGTTCTGTTCTGAAAACCGTTAAAATATTTGTTGCAGAGTGAGGGAAATAGGCTGTAATGTTTATATTTACCAGTATTTTAATATACATATGAATTGCATAAATTAATGTAGCCTAATTGTTTGCAGTTACAAGGTTAACGGGTGTTTTTGGAGTAAGATGTTCCTCTTTTTGGCCGGTTTCGTTTCTCCGTGTTGTAAACTCTAGGGGCGTGGCTTCTAAACCGCGGTGTTTTTAGGGGCGTGACGGTTGTTTTCTGCCGTCACATTTATCTGTACTGCTGTGGTATTGCTGTAAAAATGAACTTTAACCATTGGTTCTTCGGGCATGTTGACGTCAACATTAAACGGCTTGGGGTTCGTTTTAAAAACGACTCGTTTAAATGATTCAGAGTCGGCTGAGAGACCGTAACTTTATACACGGTGCACTTTCAGAGTTAAAACTTTGCAGGATGTTTTCATTCACTTAGAGCTGTGTTACAAAGGTCATTTTCAAAAATCCATAATAGGGGCACTTTAATTAAAAAGGAAATTAGAAGTGAAATCACAGAGGCATGAAGATCCTGATGTGTCTGCTGCATTACTACTGAAGTCTAATCTTCATTCACACTGAAAAGGTCATGCTTGCTTAATTACAGCTCGGCCGAATCCACTGGGCAGGAGGTTAATTAACATGCCACACGCGCTCTGTTATTTCTCAGGATAAGTCTGGTCCTCATAAGGAGATCTATCCGTATGTGATCCAGGAGCTCAAACCCACGCTGCAGGAGCTGGGCATCTCCACTCCAGAAGAGCTGGGCATCCACAAAGCCTGAGTCCGCTCGGATTCCTCAGCGCAGCTAACAAACAAGTTGGTTTCTTATCATGTGGTTGCTAGGGGTTGTGGGTGGTCACTAGGGCGTTGCTATGGGGTTGCTAGGGGTTGTGGGTGGTCACTAGGGCGTTGCTATGTGGTTGCTAGGGGTTGTGGGTGGTCACTAGGGCGTTGCTATGTGGTTGCTAGGGGTTGTGGGTGGTCACTAGGGCGTTGCTATGTGGTTGCTAGGGGTTGTGGGTGGTCACTAGGGCGTTGCTATGTGGTGACTAGGGGTTGTGAGTGGTCACTAGGGCATTGCTATGTGGTTGCTAGGGGTTGTGGGTGGTCACTAGGGCGTTGCTATGTGCTTTGGCTGGTCACTAGGTCGATGCTATATGGTTGCTAGGGGTTGTGGGTGGTCACTAGGGCGTTGCTATGTGCTTTGTGGTTGCTAGGGGTTGTGGGTGGTCACTAGGGCATTGCTATGTGCTTTGGCTGGTCACTAGGTCGATGCTATATGGTTGCTAGGGGTTGTGGGTGGTCACTAGGGCGTTGCTATGTGCTTTGGCTGGTCACTAGGTTGTTGCTATGTGGTTGCTAGGGGTTGTTGGTGATCACAAGGGTGTTGCTATGTGATTGTGGGTGGTTGCTAGGGTGTTCTGTGTGGTGTTTCCTTCCATGAAAGTAAAATGTTTTCATCTGATATCATTTACTGATACGTTTAAATGCAAAAATGCATTAATTGCAGGAAGCATCACTCGTTTTTAATACCAATTTTTTAATGCATTACGTTTTGCCCATATAACGATCTGTCTCTGTTTGTGTTTCAGGGATTTTGTGAATTCAACGGGGTTTTCTACCTCTCTGCTCACTGTATGACATTCAGGAAGTCAAACTCAGTCCCGTCCTGTATAAAAATAAAGGGCCTAATAAACGAAGCAATACTGAAAGAGTTTTGGCTGGTCACTAGGTTGTTGCTATGTGGTTGCTAGGGGTTGTTGGCGATCACAAGGGTGTTGCTATGTGATTGTGGGTGGTTGCTAGGGTGTTCTGTGTGGTGTTTCCTTCCATGAAAGTAAAATGTTTTCATCTGATATCATTTACTGATATGTTTAAATGCAAAAATGCATTAATTGCAGGAAGCATCACTCGTTTTTAATACCAATTTTTTAATGCATTAAGTTCTGCCCATATAACGATCTGTCTCTGTTTGTGTTTCAGGGATTTTGTGAATTCAACGGGGTTTTCTACCTCTCTGCTCACTGTATGACATTCAGGAAGTCAAACTCAGTCCCGTCCTGTATAAAAATAAAGGGCCTAATAAACGAAGCAATACTGAAAGTGTTTGTGTATGTGTTTGGATGATGAGATGAGAGTTTGTGCAGCAAACACTGACGCTGAGGTTTGTATCTGCTTCGCAAGCTCAACACAGACATGATAACAGATCACTGCCGTGTTTGTGATGATTGCAACCGTGAACTGAATTTCATTTTTTTGACATTAAAATGCTAAAACTGTGAGCCAAAGAAGAAAGAAAATTGAGTCCCATCATCATTAGAAATATTCATTTTGCAGGGTTTCTGCAGGTCTTAAGTAGTATTAATTTACCCTTCCACAAATAAAGGCCTAAAAATGTCTTAAACCAGAGCAGGAAGTCTTAAATTCATAAAAGCATGGTATTAAATGTTGCATGCACTGCAAAAAAAAATATATATATATATATATATATATAAAAAATATTTTATTTTGTAGTGCATGCAGCATTTAATACCATATACATATAATGTATGTGTCTTCAGTAATTTTTGTTTTGTTTTCAAATACACATATCTAATTATTCTTAAATCAAGCTTTTTTTTCCTTTGATTTAAGTTGTTTTTTATAAACCAGCTGGCAGATATTTGTTCTTGTTTTAATCATAAACTCCCTTAATTTTGATCAGTTTCCCATAAAACCAGGTGTAATAAACTTGATGTAATAAAATGATTAAAATGAGTAAAAACAATATACACATTAAAAAAACTAATAAAAATGACAAAAAATTAAATTATTAAAACATTGACTAAAAATTCAAATTTAATGTCTATGAATTTTATAAATTTTTATTTCAGTTGTAGGTGTTTTAGGAGTCAAGATTTGTATTCATCACATACACGGTTATATAGAGAATATATAACGAGCCGTGAGATGTAAGTCAGGTCCGCTCCATGCACAGTGCAATTATCTTAGAATACAAACACACAGGGAAAATAATATGTAAATATAGGTATGGAAAAAATAAAGAGTAAAATAAAATGTGCAGGACAGTATACTGTAGACTTAATAAATATGTTTTAATAAGGAATGTGCAAACAGGTTGTACAGGGTAGTTACACAGCAGCAATAGAGAGAGAACATAAACAGAAAGTGCTGTGTGCAAGTGACAATGTCAGTATATTGAATATCTTACTGATTATTAAGTGTTTGGGTTTAGGAGCCTGATGGCTCATCGAGTCTACATCGAGTTAAAGTAAAAGAAAATGATTCAAAATATAAAAATATATATATATGTTATGTATGCATATGTGTGTGTGTATATATATATATATAGGTTTATTTAAGGCTGCAGTTGCGCCGGAGCGCCTGTGAGGGGCAGCAGAGCGTAGAAAGCGCTGCAAGTGACGCCACGCGAAGAAGAACTCTGTTTACAGCAGTGTTTTGAAACTCGGTTAGCATTAGCATCGACACTAGTGTGATTTAAGACATGGTTTCTCATTTAAACTCTCATTCTGAAACACCGACATGAGCGACACGATGGCGAGCCGACAGCAGCGCACTCTTCTGTCCGAGCGAGAGCCTTCGGCCGCGATGGAGGTGATTTTAGCTCAGTCCGGTCGTCTGTTGTGTTGCTAAACTCCATTAGCATTGTTAAAAGCGCTACTCATGTATTCAGGAAGGGAAATATCCTGTATATCAGCAGCTGGTTTGTGTCCTGCCATCTGTGTCTCGTGCAATTTTTTTTTAAACAGTGTGTTTGTGTCTATGAATGAGCGTTTATATAGATTTCAAACTACATGAGCACTGAATGTGCGTTGAATTAATTTTGATGAAATCACGAGCACATGAGATATGATATCAGTATTCAAGGTTAGTAGCCAAATCAGTTGCACTAACAAGGAAATTGGCTTTTTTTAAATATGCACCAGAAAGTATGCATGCTATATCAAATAGTAGTTAAATATAATAAAGAGATTTTTTTGTTTTGTTTATGCACAGAATGTAAAATACAATACTAGTGCATGGTGTGTGTGACAGTATACCAGGTTAAGAATGCAATTGTTATGAGAAAAGTATGGGAGCAATAACTTATGATATGAAATGGCCCCTTTATGTGTCACTATGTTGATGAATGACAACACTAGAGTGCTGAGAACAGTGAGCAAACACAAGCGGTGGAGAAGAGAGGGCCGTATATCGTGTCCAAAGCTCCTGCTTTCCACACCACGCTCCGTAAGTACTGAGAGTTCAGATCTGCATAACTCATGTCTTGAGCTGCATGCATTGACATCAAAACTGTGTTTGCAGAGAAGCACAGAGACACAGCCAGACGAGCTCTGCAGAAGAGAGGATTGCTTCATCAGCCACGACACAAACCAAAGACGTGAGTCTCGCCGCGGCTCGGGACGAGGGACTTGAAAACACACTTGCACAAAAATTCACGTCTTTACATTCATGCATTTGGCAGATGCTTTTATGTAAAGTGACTTGCATTGCATTCAGTGGATGCATTTTTTTTTTAAATCGGTGCAATTAATGTGATTTACAGATGCATTAAACTGCGTATCGTTATGTTCATGCACTTAAAATAAAACCATAAAAAAAGTAATTACTTGAAATAATGAAGTATAAAACTTACTTCTGGTGTTTGCAAGGAATTATCGTTTTCATTTACGTAAGTACTAAAATGAGTCAAACAAAAACTAAAAAATGACAACACGCAACAAACATTGAAATAATATTATAGGTTTTGTTCATGTTTAATTTTAATGTTTTCTTTTTCATTTTATTTTTAGTTAAACATTTGTGTTTTTGTTATTTTTATTCGTTTCTTTTATATCTGTATAATTTTTATGCACTTATTTCAGTTTTAGTTATTTTAGTAAATCAAGTTAAACTAAATGAAAATGATAAATGTTTCTTTGCCAACTAGCTGAAAAAAAGTTCATGGTATATATATA